TACAATACACCACAGTGTTTATTAACTCTGGATTAGTGTGATAAGCACAACGCTGCAGCCACGGGATTTGTCCCCACACTCTAAGCTTGCTCCTTCTGCTTCTTCAGCAGCTCCCTCAGCTGCTCGATCTGGGCAGTCACGCTGCTCTTGGCAGTGCCGCCCACAGCAGTGTACTGCTCCACGCTGTTGACAACGCTGAAGACCTGGGAGACATCGCTGGCAAACAGAGGGCTGGGGAGGCAAAGAGAAGAGGTATCAGTGGGGAATGAGGGGCACTGCTTGATGGTTTTACATGCTCATTGCCTGTGGAGAAAATAAGGAAGTAGAGGCTGAGCCTTTTTCCAACAGAAAAAGCATCGTGAAGCTCTGCTTCTGCACCTCTAGTGCCTGACAGGAGCAGTTCCTGACATACCAAAGACACAGCTGCAAAGGCAGAGGGAGGAAGGAAGTCTGAAGCCAAATTCTTCTACAGTGCTGGTGCCTCCAGGTCAAGGCATGAATTTCTCCATACCCTCCCAGTACCTGTGGCCCATGCCATGCATTGTTCAGTGGTAGTGATATTGTGCCCCTTCAACTGATACAGGTTTGGCAGTAGTAGTGGTGATATTTAGGCCATGACAATTTTGGGGTGCAGTCAGGACTGAAATGTTCATGGAAGGGCACCATAAAGAAGCCTGTACTAAGCCAGACTGACACCTGCCTTTTGAGGGGTTTTATGGCAAAGTAACAGTGATACAAACCTGATGCTCTTCAGGTCCTCTAGAGTGAGTTTATTGATAGCAATGCCTTTAGTCTCAGCAAGGTGGACGGCCTTCCCAGAAGCAGCATGAGCTTGTCTGAATGGCATCTGCAATGAGAAGGAGATGACAGTCCAGTGCAGACTCAGTCAAGAATGGATATTCTCTCATTTTTATTGGTTTGTTTTTCCTTATAACAATGAAATTTAAACATGCAGTAGTTGACCCACACTGACCATCACCTGGGGACAGAACAGAAGGCCTCATCTCAGGCCCTCACTGAGCAGTGTTCTGAATCTAAAGAAGTCAGAGCTCCAAGCCTTCCTCTGATACTTACTCCTTTACGAACCAAGTAGAGAGCCAGATCAGTAGACAGCAACTCAGGGGTCAGAGCCTTCTCCATGTTCTCCTTGTTGATCTGCAGAGAGAGATATTACTGTCAGCTGCTCTTTAGGGAACCTTTAGTGGTCTCAAAGAATGGACTTCATCAAGGAGGGACCAGGCTCTCAAGGACATTCTGCTCAAGTGTACCTGAGCTGCCTGTGGTGGGAGCACTAACAAGCAGTAAGAGTGAGCAAGCCTTCATGTTAGGACCAGACTAGAGCTCTTACATACAGAACATGTCCTCCAACCACATCCAGTAATGAGAAGCTGAAGCCTTACCTGGAGGGTAGAAATCACTCCGGTGGCAACCTGGAGCACAGCAGTCAGAGTGTCCACAACATCAAGGACAGCTTCCTTGTCCTCCTGCATGAGAGCATGGATGGAAATTGCTGTTAGGTGACCTGATGCAGCCCTAGTTTTATCATCTTGCACACAAGCTGTACTTGTGCAAGAAATATAGTGCAAGAGACTTCTCTAGAGCAGGAGACAACAGTCTCCTCAAAGAACTGAAGTGGAAGCTAACGTCTGCTTTACCTGCAGATCCTTGCTGAAGGTGCTTGGAATTCCTTTCAGAACCATGAGAATAGCAGCCAACTGCAGAGAGAAACAGGTATGGCAGTTAGTTACAGGAAGACAAGCACATTGCCCCAGCAGAGATTCACAGCCTACTCCCAGCATAATTTCAATTTTTACACAGAGGCATGAAGAAGGAAGCTTCTTCAGCCCCAATATGAGCAGTTTCCCTGCCCCTCTTCTTTCTTTAACAGGCTCACCCGTCCAAACACACGACCAGCTTTGCTGCGGATCAGTTCCAGGCTATCAGGATTCTTCTTCTGAGGCAACAGGCTGCTCCCAGTGCTGGAAGAAAAGTGTTGGGAGTGTAATGGTGAGCAAGACCCCAGTCTGTGCAGATGCAGACTAAGACATGCAGGCCCAGCCCTGCAAAAGTGATTGGTAGCCCCCCTTAACTGGATTCCTGTCTCAGTATAGGAAAGCAGTGAAGTGAGTGCACAGAGTTTCTCATGTTTCCCAAAGAAAAATCTTTGGTTTTGCAGTCCTGTCTGGAGCTACCACCCGGTGCTGCCTCTCAGAAGAGACAAAACAGAGGCTTCTCTTCAAGGCCCATTTGCACAGAAGGCAAGAGCAGGCAGGACTTGTTTTTCTGTGCCCTCAGAGAGGCAGGGCAGCGGCTGTGCTGCATTGAGAGACAGGAAGTCTGTTAGTATTGCAAAGCCGGGCTGTTCTGGGAAGGGTTTTGGCAGGAATTCCCAGCAGAGAAGGAAGTTTTCTGTGCCTGTTCTCTTACAGCATATTTCTGCCAGCAGTAGCTGGGGAGGAGTGATCAGTGAATGGAGATGTGGTTGAGTTGCCAAAAAACAGAAATCATGGACAAGGAGAGCCTTGGGGATGGACTGTCAGTGACCAGGCACCTACCTGTAGGCATCAGAGAGAGTCACAAAGCCAAATTCAGTGGTGCTGAAGATGATGAGATCTTCGGCCAGCTTGCTAAGGTGGATCATCAGCAGGGTGGCAACAGAGATTAATTCCACTGCAGAAAAGGTAGAAAAGCAGGAAGTGAAAAAGGTGTTTGTGTTTGACAAACCAGGGAGCCCTGATTGGAGCTTAGAAATGTACAAAGGTTTTCTGTTTGGTTACTTCCCAGTGTGGGATTTCAGCTTCCTTGTTAAATGATGTTAACTGGGAAGGTGTCCAGTGTCTGCTTCTAACTTGGGGGAGGGAGGAATGGTAGAGTTGTACTTACCCACAAAGTCTCTCTCACTGATGGCATCCATGCTGTTCAGGCTGATGCATGCAAAGTCCAGTTCTGTAAGAGAAGTGGTGGACAGGAGAGATCATGTTTAGCCTAACTTGAAGTCTGCCCCAGCAGGTGTCTGTGAGCCCTTTAGTAGTCCAAGGAACACAAATAAGGTGTGTTGAGGCATTGTTATTTGTCCCAGGTGGCCAATGGGTAGCAGAAGTGGTTCAATTTATTATCCCAGCATACAGGCATGTGCTTTCTTAATTTGGTAAGAAGTCTTATTGCTTACCAATTCCTTGGGAGCTGCCTGCAACCTGTGTTCCTGGTCATCAGAAATTATTCTGTTTTTGTATTTATTACCCTCCTTCCCCATGTTGAGGTGCTGCAGTGTATCTCAAAATAGCACTGTGACAGTGTGTCAGTGTTTCTCTAATTCCCAGATATTGTAATCAGACCCGTGCTGCTCAGTCAGGGAGACATTTACCACTACGCAGAAGCTCTCTATCAATTTCCAGTGGGTTCCCAGCCAGAGCACCGCTGCCAGGGAAAAAGGAAACGGAAGTCATGCATGATATCCTGCACAGTGCAACAAAAACTGATCTCCAGCAACGAGGGATGACATCTCTTTCTCTCCTCAAAAGAATCTGGCATCAAACTGCTCCCTGTAGCATGGTCTGAGGCTCAGCAAACTGAACTCTAGACCAAGCCAGGAGTTCTCTTCCAAAGAAAAAGATTTGCATGATGAAAGCCTTGTACTTCTTGATTTCAAAGAGAAGGGAGAAGAGCATCTGTTTGGTGGGTATGTCAGTCATTGCACTTTTCTTTGGTGCATGAAGCAAGGCTTGAGATCTTGAAGCTGCAGTGCGTGTAGCAAACAAACACCAGTGGTTCAGAGGATGTAATGGTCTGCCTCTTGGTCATTTAATAGAGCAAAGTGATGCCCAGGGGTTACACAGAAAGTACACATTACCTTCCCAGAGGCAAGACGTTCATCCTTTTCTTCACCTCACCCAGGCGCTCAGAGTCACGAATCAGTGCAACAGCGTGGCTAGAAGGGGACATGAGAGAAAGCTGAAGCTAAAAAATGGCCAGAATGGGTGGGGTGTGCTGAGAGGCAGTCTCCAGCACACAGGCAGTGTTCAGGTCCTTGGTTGTTAAGAGTCAAGTAGCACTAAACTGAGGAGTGCTTGTGGCAGCTTTCAGGGTTAGCTCTGCTGTGTCTCCCCCAGCTGCCCCATCAGAGAATGATGCACTTCTAGGCTCCAACTGTACAGGGCTCTGAGAATGGAGAAAGCTTCCCTTCCTAGAGCTGAGTGTGAAAGGTGCTTACCTGAGCAGGAACTGGCTCCATCTGATGGGCAGAGCTTTCTGCAGGTGGGTGTAGCCAGGCATGATAACATCAATTTCTCTGCATATGGAAAGAGAGGAAGGGGTGAGCAGCAACTGTTGGCATAGAGAGCAGTTGCAGGTAAACTCTCAGGTTTTGTGGCAAGTTCATGAGAACGTATTTAGCCTGTGTTGTGCTATGCCTTCCTCTTCTTATATCTCCATAATACATTAGGGGAAGAGGAATGTCTCCCTGAAGCAGGCTGTGAAGAAAGAGGGCCCATTGTCTTTCCCTGGACTGTCACATACTGTCTCACTTCGACATCCTCTGCAGAAGGCCTTGCTGCTGCCCTGATTGGTATCAGTCAAAGAGCAAGCCTAGAAGTCTCCTGTCTCAGGAGCATTAAGACCATGGACTTGGGAAAGGACTTACGTAGCAGCACGCTCCACCAAGGACTGGATGAGCTGCAGCAAGTGAGTGGAGATGACAGAGATGGAACTCTTCAGGAGCAGCTTCAGGTCAGTCACAACCTGGACAAGATTGGCCACAATGAGATAAAGGAGAATGTGACAAGCTTAGTGACCAGATACACCTCAGCTGAAAGGCAAGGCAGGCTACCAGCTCTTCATTCTAAGTGATGTGAAAGGACATTTTAGCAGATATGCCCCATGTCTCCTATTCATGAAAGTTACTGTATATTGCCTTCCAAAGCTCATTCTTTTCAGTGGAATTCTCAGGTATAGGCAGCTTGGGATGGAATATCCCCCACAGTATTCCCCAAAGCGTGTCATTAGCAAAAGGCTGATCCCAAAAGACACATGTCACCCAGCCAGTAAATTAATGGATTCTGTGGGCTTTCCAAGGGCAGCAATCCTGCAGAAACCACTTCCCTGTGATGATGAATCACTGCAGCATCACTCGCTTAAAGCCATAGGGAGCACATGCTGGAGATTGTCATTGCAGGCAAGAGATGACAGGAAGAAGCTTGGTAAGGACCTGAGGTGTGGGAGTAATATAGGAGGAGAAAAACAAGTAGTTCTATACATACCTGATCATTCCTGCTTCTTCCAGTGTGCAGCTTTCCAGCTATATCCCCAATCAGCTCCTGAGGACAAGAGAATAACTTCTGTCAGTGTCTCTGTATTCTAACCAAAAGAATTCCTGCAAGAGCAGACCTCCTCCTAGCTCTAGGATCCTGTAAGTAGCTACGTGTTTTTCTCTGGGGAAGAGGAAGTTTGGATTCTAGGCTTGTACAGCATCTTTTCCACAGAAAAGGGGTCCTGGACACTGGTGGCTGTGCACCTAGTATGTCAGTATCACAGGGTGTTGAGGAATTTCACTGTGTTGGGGACTGAGGCACATGTGCTTAATGTCAGCAGCTCTACATAGAGAGGGAGGGGAACAACAGGTTAAAGGACCCAAACCTTCAGTCTGCGTTCGTTGGCAGTGTGAATATCCTCATCACTTTGTTTCACCACAAAGACTCCCTTAGACCATTCCTCAGAGATCTATAAATGTCAAAAGAAACACAAGTCAGCTCATACTGTTTCCCTGAGTGAGGGACTTGCAAGTTGTCCCCAGGAAACACCAACTTCTGCACCCAATTGGAAATGAAAGCATTCTCACAGGAGCTCCAGCATTCCTGTTCTTTCAGGCCAAGGCTGGCTGCTTGCTCTATCCCTATATTCTCCATTGCACTTGGTGGAGATTCATCTTTTGATCCTTGCTGATCCTGCAATCCTGGCTATAGCAGGACTTAAGCATCACAGTGAGAAAGTGAGCCGAAGTGGCAGTCATTGCTTTAGCATTGTCCATAAAGATTTTCCTATACAAACATTGTATAGACTGCCCATTGTCCATGGTAGGTGAGCAACAACAATGAACATTTCAAAAAAAGGGCTTAGTGGCTGCCTCTTCTTCACCCCTAGACAATACTGTGCATTGCCTTCTACTAACTCAGGCAGCCAGACTCAAAGGGATCCCAAGTGCCATTGGAGAAGGAATATTGCTAATTATACTGAAACAATTCCTCAGGAATGTTCAGTCTGTGAGGATGGGAGGGCAGGTCATGCTGAGCACACCTCACAGAGGCACCAGGTTTCCATA